TGGGTGGTGGTGAGGGAGCGGTGGGTGTGAGGGAAGGTGGGTGGTGAGGGAGCGGTGGGCGGTGGTGGGGGAGCGGTGGGTGGGGGTGGGAGAGGTGAGTGGGGATGTGGGGAGCGATGGAAGTGCGTGGGGGTTTCATTGGTGGAGCTGAGTTAGTCTCCTTTTGGATTTCAGTGGGATCAAACTCTGCGGTGTTGCATTACGGACATGCCAGCGCTCCAAATGACAAGACCATTTTGGATGGAGACCTGTGGTAAGTGGGGCTCGCTCCCATGGCCTCGCTGACACAGCCTGCCCTCCTGTACATCACTGGCTGTGCTTCAAGTGCCAGGCAATGAGTTGGCAGAGGGTTTCGTATGGCTTTATTTAGCACCTTTCACTTCGGGAGGACGCCCCAAGGGGGCTGAGCTCTGTGGAATGGGCCACTGATCCTGGCCTGTTGCTGTGGATTTCTGCCCAGGAACCATGCTGTAGGGGAGGGGGAAGCCCCTGTCCGGGGTAGGAGGTTGGGTATTGAGACATAAAATGGTTTCAGTTCCTCCAGTAACCACAAGGTGTCAGTGTGGTGATAACCCACAATGGCCTCACCACAGCTCTTTCTGAATCGGATTGATATTCACTCACTTTTTCACACTGAAAAGGGTGAAATGAAATGATGGCACAGAACTCACCAGTAACGTGGCTGTTGGTGGTGCACAGGCGCACATGTCTACCTGTGTATGTGTGTGTCTCCCTGTGGATGTGTGCACATGTGTCTGCCTGGGGGTTGTCAGGTGCTGACAGCATCACCATCCATGGTGCACACTCCACCTTACTAAGCCAGTCCAGTGTCTTGGCAGCTTGTTTGACCCTCAACTATCCTTTCTACCCCACATCCGTGCAGTGACCCGTTCTGCTTTCCCCACCTCACCCAGTTCCGCCACTGTCTCACACCGCAGGCCGTCAAGACCCTCATACACTCATTCATAACATCAAGACTCGACTACGCAAACTCCTTGCTTGTCGCCTCCCAACTTTTCCTTCCATAGGCTGCAGATCATACAGAACTCTGCAGCCCATGTCCTCTCCCGCACCAGGCTCTGTGCCCCTATCACCCCCATCCTCACCTGATTACACTGGCTTCCCATCACACAGAAGATACAGTTCAAGATCGTGGTCCTCACCATGACCTTGCTCCCCCCTACCTCTGTGATCTCCTAACCCCTACCATCCTGCTCGCTCCCTCCGCTCAACGGGCTCCAACCTGCTTCACGTCCCGCCTCGCTCACCCCACTATTGGCAGGCGGACCTTCTGCCACTCTGTCCCGCCCTCTGGAACTCCATCCCGCAGGGCTTCCATCTCACTCCCCCACCTTGGGATGTCCTCCTGACATGAAAGACGATATACAAATGTAATTTTATTGTTGTTGCCTTTGTGTGTGTCTGCCTGTTTGCAAATCTGCTGTGTGTGTGTATGCCTGCATGTGTGCCGTCTGCCTGTGTGTGTGTATATATATATATATTGTGTGAGAGCTCAGTGCTGAGCGGGTAAATGATGATGTACCAATCTGTTTGTTCACTTTCAGCCTGTTTGACATGGGCGGGGAGTATTATTGCTACGGCTCTGACATCACCTGCACATTTCCCGCTAACGGCCAGTTCACCGCTGACCAGCGTGCCATCTACGAGGCGGTGCTGAGGTCATCGCGCGCTGTGATGCAAGCCGTGCGCCCTGGTAAGCAGGTCACCAAGGGCCACATCGTGTGAAGCTGAGCCTCCACACTCTTGTGCAGAAGTGATTGTGAGTTCAGGTGTACAAGCAAGTAAGTGTGTGGTTTCTAGTATACCCTTACTCCCACACTTATTCGCTTGCACGCACGTGTGTGTGAGCCTGTGCACAGTGTGTGTGTTACCATGCTTGCTGCGGGAAAGGCGAGCTAGCGATTGAGAATCCAGACTGAAGGTTAGTGTCTGTGACCTTGTGCTGGGCAGGGTAACGGGGTCAGCACTGGGCAGACGGCGCTGGCACTGGGGCCAATAGTGAGAGCAGGAGCGAGCAGACCTTGCTATCAGATTATTGTCTGTAACCTAATAGCCACAGCTCACTGTTTGCTCAGCTTATCAGGAAGCCTGGTGTACGTGTAAAATGGCCTCTGTACTGAAGGTCTCCCACCTCTCCTCCCCCCACCACGTACGCACATCAACATGGCTCCAACTAATCCTCCAAGCTAAAGCTCTCATGGGTGAACCTTTGCTTAGGCAATAGGAATTGTGCCAGTGGTTTGTGAACGCTCGGGTGTCTCTGTGGCTTAGCTTTTGCCAGCGTGTGATTAAACTCTCTGGGATTGAGTTGAGCAGTGCCTCCGGGGAAAGCCCAGATAGACGGGAAATGTGCCGCTCTCAGTGCTTTGGTTTGGAGACACTTAAGCACGGTGTCAGACTCTAGCTGATCAAAAAAAATTCAGAGGAGGCTTCTGTTCTCCCTTCAATGAAACTAAACAGGTGCATATTTCCCGGTAGTTACTGGCAGCTCAGTGTGTGAGATAGGAACCACAGTGAGGAGGAGGACAGATAAGTTAGCTACAGCACAGGTTAGAGACAGTGTAATACTCCCTCTACACTGTGCGTCCACACTCCCAGGTCAGGGTTAGAGACACAGTAAAGCTCCCTCTACACTGTGCGTCCACACTCCCAGGTCAGGGTTAGAGACACAGTAAAGCTCCCTCTACACTGTCCGGCCACACTCCCAGGTCAGGGTTAGAGACACAGTAAAGCTCCCTCTACACTGTCCGGCCACACTCCCAGGTCAGCATGATGCACAACATGAGCTCTGTTCAGCAAACACACTTGGAGAGCTTGGCTTTTCTCCGCTAAGAATGAATATTTTCTGCCCTTCATTAAACAAACATTTGAATTTGGAGACTGGGAGTGTTTATAAATAGGACACAGCCTGCTCCAGTTCTGCTATGTGATTGAGTGGCTTCTGCTTGTGAGTTATTCGCTCAGCCTCGTTGGCTGAGTTATTTATGGCCGGCTGCTGGCCAGGATGTAAGCTGCAGATGAACACGTGTGGGGCTGGTGCCTGGGACCCAGCTCTCGCTCTGCTCGGTCGCGCAGAGTCTCTTGCTCACCGAAGACCTTCAGTAAGTGAGTGCTCAGCTTGCTGATTGGCTCAGGCCCCAGCTGGCAGCAGTGCGGAGCAGAGCAGACACATCATCAGCAGATTTGTGTGTGGACGGCTTCACCAGGGCCAGCGAGCAAAGTCCAAGGCCAGCGTAATGTAGCTTTGTATACTGTAGCTGTCACCAACATGTAATCAGTACACAAATTGGCTTTCCAGCATGATCGTGTGTGTGTGTAAAACTGACACGTTGTCAGAAGGACACGAGAGTTCACAAATTGAGACAATAGCCATAAGATGTAAGTTCCCCACAAGACTTTAAATATAAGGCTCTTGAACCAGAACAGCACATCTGGCTCCCCAGTCACTCGTGTTTCAGACATGTTTCACTCCCAACTTCCGGGGCCTCAGTCAGTCAGGAATGATCGGAATTCCAGTGGGGAAGAGAGGCACAGAGGCATCTTTCTGTACATTCCAATGTTTATTTGAATGAGGATGCATATTCTTTATAAAACCATTTCTTAGCGTAGCCCCAATCCTCTGTTTGTGTAGAATCAGTCGCTGACTGAAGGGGTTCAGCTCTGCATGGGCCTTTTTCATGCCTTGTTCACACAGACACGTCCCCTTGCGACAATGGGGCTGAGAGTAATGGAAAAGTGTAATGAAATTAACTATTAGAAACTGATTGAAAGATAGACTGTATGAGAATAAGGAGGGTAGAGAGGTAGATCCTGTCTGAATAACCTGGTGGATTTTTTTTTGAGGCAATGACATTTTAACGACACTTCTCTTTGACCGAGCCTTCAGCTCCCCTCGACTCTCTTCCCCCTCCTCGCTCCCTCCCTTCCCTCCCCCTGACCATTTCCTCGCTCCCTCCCTTCCCTCACCCTGACCATTTCCCCCCTGCTCGGGTCATGACCCAACTGTGCAGCGCCTTGGGACGTCCTCCTGACGTGAAAGGCGCTTTATAAATGGAATCTTGTTGTTGTTGTTGTTTAAGTGCTTTGAGATGGTTTGAGATGATTCAATGCTGTAGGTGTTGTATCAAATAATCAAATGCAGTTTGACTGAGAAACCATTTGAGAATGTACCTAGACTCCCATAGCTCAGCATGAGAGACTCCTGTCAGTGAGACTTACAGGGTGAGACTTGACTGTGGATTAGTAACTGGCTCGAGGGAATACGCTATAGTAATTGTAAGAGGAATTAGGTTGAAATAGGAGGTGTTGTGTGTGTAGAGGTGGGAAGGGGGGCTCTGGATCAAAATTTCCTGTTTCTAGCTCCTAAATGACTTGGATTTGCAGGACTTGGGCAGTTGACACTTGTCCACTCAAGGCACCTTCACAACGATCAATAATTAACCCTTGAGTTTATTATTATGCCTCATAGTGTCAAAACGTCTCAAAGTGCTTGATAGGAATTACAGTAAAGTGTCGTGAGTGTAGTTGAACTCAACAGCCATGAAGTGAAAGAGCGATTTACTTGTAGGATTGTTGTCCAGGGTACTGAGTGGCACTGATCCCAGGGCGGGCATCACAGACCCTGAGCTGGGCAGGGACCGGGGCAAGCCTAGTTAACAGCATATTTAGTGATCAGTCCTGTATGTACTGAAGCACGTCTCCTGGGGGGTGTATGGGTTATATTTTAACAACCAGCCCACCAATAAAGCACCCACAAGGTCAGCTCACCGCTCCCAGACGACGGAAGCAGATATGTGGGGTTACTGTGTAACTGAAGTATTTATCATTGGTGATAGTGTTAGAGGCACAGTTGCCAGTATAATTCACAACCTGCAATGAGTGCCTCGTAGGCCAGACACTGGTCGCTGGGGGCAGTCACAGACATTTGGTGAGGGCTGATAGTTACACTGAACAGAATGGATATAAGCCAACAGTAACATTGGTAGAGCTGGCTAGCCTGGGCCTTGGGGTTCTTTGTGCTATTTATTTTGGGGGAGGAGGGATGGAATTAATTTTCTTTGATAGCCTCACCCATCAGCTGGAATTATTCATAAACTACACTGTTCTTTTCTTTGTTTCCCACTTATACCGGGCTGCTGTTAAGACTGCCGTTGACCTGAGGTGTTGAGCTCTGTGAGACCAGTTTGGCTGTACCTTTGCCTACCTGATCGAAGGAGAGGAAGGACAGGTTTGGAGAATCACATTCATGTGATCAAAACAAGATGGAGGCATTGCAGGGACAGCCTGCTCCTGGCTCACATTCCAAAACCAGGCCGGGCCTCCTGCAAATACACAGCCCTGTGAAGCTCCTTCCACATCACCCAGAGAATTAATGACATAAAGTCCATCAAATCCAGCTCTCAGCATATGGATTTCTCTGTAAACTGGACATGAGATTTAAATAGTTTTCTTGTAATGTTGTTTGTGATGAAGTGATGAATGCCAGCACTTTGGGACGTCCTCCCAACGTGAAAGGCGCTCTATAAATATAATTTTGTTGTTGTTGTTCACCCTTTCAGGGTCCAAGGCCTCTCTCTGCCAACCTTACCCTTGGAAAGCTGCAGCTTTCCAGCGCTCAGAGTAAGTAGACTTGGTTCATATTGTATTTTAAAGCTATTGGCTTTTGTGCTTCACCCTAGAAACATGTAACTAGGGCAGGAACTCTCCCATTGTATCTCAATGGAACCAGCTCCCACCCCACCTCTAATGTGGTTGAGTTGAATTTTGAATTAAGGAATTTCCAGCAAAACCTGTATAACCAGTGAAGTGATGAATCTAGTTTGAGTCCCGCTATCTCTACCTCTTTCTGGTGGTTTTAGTGCTGGTAGCTAGAGCTACAGTGTTAGCTAAACACCCACATTGCTGCCAATCAGCTCTGCTCAGCTTAAACCCTTCCAGTAACAGCAACCGGAGGAGGCCATTCAGCCATTAAAATGGTTCTGCCGGTTTATCAGATTGTGACAAATCTTTTAATCCCATTTTCTCATCTTTATTCCCATATCCCTTAATCCATTTTACTTCCCAAAATCAGTCTCTCTTCATTTTAAACATGCTAATTGATTGTGCCAATATGACCCAGTGCGTTCCCCTGTATGTGAAGAAAGCCCCATTCCCAGTCCTCTGCTCCCAGCAGTTATGAAATGAGCTGTGATAGTTGCTGTGAGCAGTGTGAAGAATGTCCTGTCTGACAGTGTGTGTATGTGTGTGCACGCCAGCACACAGCATTGGTGCTCTTCATTGAACTATTCCTCTCACTAAATATTTACATTCTAGACATTTGACGTCTGTGGTTCGACCCTGTGCAATAGCGTATCTGATATCAGCCGCTTGCTGTCCAAGGGGCCGGCTGCTGACTTTCATATCTTTCCTTTCTCCTGAAATTTGTCTTAAGTGAAGCTCACTATTTCTATTATTCAACTAAAAACACTGAATTAAGTCTTTGTAAAGTACGTGTGAAATAATCACTCAACCCAGAGGAGCCTCTCCCGTAGAGAAAGAGTTTTCATTGATCTTTATTGATCTGCCCATCACTAGCAATCAGAGCATTGAAACCATAAGCAATCAGGAGAGATGGGATTCTTGTTGCTATCCAAGTCTGTCCAGCACCAGGTGGGAGCTGGGGTGAGAGCTGGCACTAATGTGTGACACTGGGAGCCGTACTGTGAGGCTTTCTGGGAGTTGACTCTCGCTGGGTTTTGAGTCCGTAGGAGCGGGAAAAGGGGGAATGTAACTGTGGAGACTTTGCCTTGAACTGCTTTGTAACAAGAATTATTTCTAACTTTTTGTTCAAATTCCTGACCTGACCTTTGCTTGTGTTGTGCCAAGGGTGGCCTGGCCTGACATGCACGCCTGGCTGACAGAGTTCATCTGGAGGAGCTGACAAAGATTGGTATCCTGCAGGCAGTGAGAACATGATGAAAGTTCACCTGGGCGCAGTGTTCATGCCCCATGGCCTGGCCACTTCTTGGGATGTGATGTTCACGATGTGGGCGGATACCCTGAGGTGAGTCAGGGTCAAACAGGGAAACTCCCAGCTTTCACTTCACCCTCTGCCCCTCGCGCTCTGGGCCTTTACCCCTGCAACAGGCAGCGAACAGACATATCAGCAAATCCCCTCACACACACTTGCACACACTCGGGCAAAACTAGAATGGTGCCTCTGCTACCTTTTAGACAGGACTTGTTTGTGGGCGGTGATGAGAGACCCATGTCTCGCTCTGCTCTGTGTATGTCTCACAGTTCAGTGTGTGCGTGTCTCTCGCAGCTCAGAGGGAGTCTGGGATCAGGTGATTCTGAGCCACTCACTGACTTAGGCCAAACTGATGTGTCTGTTAACAAGTGACCCGACCACAGACCATATTCTTTCTCTATTGAAACCCAGCAGCGTTATAAAAGCTAGTTGAGAATCTTGGTTTACAGTTACAGTTATAGTTACAGCCCCCCCCTTAGTTAGGTCACAATGACCTCACACATACATGTATTTTCTTGCTCTGGGCTATTCTGCAGTCAGCCTCCCCCCCCCACACCCCCCCAAGGAAATTGGGACCGAGGCCTGCTTTTGTACTCAGAATCTGATGCTGCCTCAGGTCTGGATTGAGTCCGTCCAAAGGATTCGAACACCAGGTCCGCACACAGAGGCAATCTCAGCCCCAATGCCTGTGCTGTGTTTGAGTCCAGGTCACACAGGTGCAAGGACAGTGTGTGCCTCTTGCTCAGCACATCCCACGCCCAGGATTCCACACAGTTATTCAGACTTTGGATCCAGCTGCTATTTGTGAGGGAATATTGGTAACCTGGTTTCTGCCCCGTTAGCTGTTTGGCTTCATCTCTTCGCAGGACTCACTCCAGTTATATGCACATTTATCCTTTTATCTCTCAATTGCACATTCTATACATACCACCTGATTTACTCTCTGCTCTTGGGACAGATAATACCACATTACACCCTTGGGCCCAATCCTCTCCTCGGATCATGCCCCCACCCCCCGCAGAGCGTGCTTGCCCCTTGTATGAGGTGATGGTTGTGACGTGTCCTGTGCTCAGGTGTGGATCGCATTGAGGAGCCGGGGCTCGGAGCCTGCGTACAGCCCGGGTCCTGCTAGAGGGGATGGTGCTGACCATAGAGCCTGGCATCTACTTCATCCAACACTTACTGGACCCGGCGCTGGCTGACCCCGCCCAGGCCTGCTTCATCAACGCAGACATCCTCGGCCGCTTCAGAGGCTTCGGCGGGGTGAGTGAGTCACAACCTGCGCTGAGACGCTGCTCTATAATAATAATAATCCTGTATTTGATATAGAACTTTGCTGCTGTTATGCTGTTGTACCAATATGTTGGGAGTCTCGCCATCAACAGCACCTTTTAATACTGAAACTTGTGAAGAAAAGTACAAGATGCTCCAGTAAATCTGCGGGGAGGGTACAGTGCATGTCACTGTGTAGCCTGAGTTTCTTACTGTCCTGTACAGTGGAGAGGGCAGGAGAGACCTGTCCATTAAGTGCAAATGCCCTGTGTTCTGCTGCTGCCTCATTTACTTAGATAGGAGTTTATTGAACATTTTGTGACTTGTTACAGTTCTCTGATAAGATAGTGATTCATAAAAGCAGAGCCTGAGGTGTGTAATATATCACCTATTGATTTAGGTTTGGCTCAGACAGATCACCAACAGCAGTTGGGGTTAACCCCTTCCTGCCCACCCCAACGTATGAAAACTGCGAAATGTGATAATCACTGGAACATTCTGCTTCTGGTGATGCCCCAGTCTATAACATAATCAAATGCAAGGATTATTATTATTAAAGTCTAGTGAGGCTGATAATCTGCAGGACTTCAGTAAGTGGTTTTGAATCCATGTTGTGAATAGAAGCATGTCACCAGGAGTGGAGTGGTTCACGATGTGATGATCATATCACACATCGCATTATTCACCCTGATTCTTAAGCCAAGTCTGTGTTTGGTTGTTTGAGGATTTTTCCCTTACACCAGGTGCGAATTGAGGATGACATCGCAGTGACCACCAATGGCATGGAGCTGCTGACCTGTGTCCCGCGGAGCGTGGAGGAGGTGGAGGCGCTGATGGCAGAGGGCGCTGGCTCAGCCAAATCCTTTGAACCCTTGGACAGTCAGTAGTTCCCAGGCCGACAAGTGCCTGAGCACGTTACCTGACTGTGCTGTCACAATGTCATGTCCGTCCATGATTCAAAGCATGGAATTCAAATCAAGCTTCACGCTTGTGTGTGTGTGTGAGGCTCACACGTGTTAATCTATCAAATTGATGATATTAACATTAATGATATAAAATCCAAGAGAACGAATCAAACAACACAAGGATACTGAGCTCCAAGACCCTCACTGGTGAGAAAGGTGTGAATTCACACTGAGATTTGGGGGAGAGGCAGTACATGGAGAGGGATAGCCAGGCCTGCACGCCCAGTGCTAGCCCCCCCCGTCCCCCCCACACCCCGGGGGGCCAGGAAACACGAGGATCAGCTAAAAGCAGCTTCCCAATTTCAGCTCCTGGGCCCAACTACCTCATCTGCCTCGCTTTCCCACCACAAGAAATATTTCCACAAATTATGTTGCAAGAATCTATTTTTAAAATCACATAAATTCTCTTTTGTATCTGCTTCATCTAATAAAACCTGACTATCTGCAACTTTGGCTTGGTGGTTTGAGCTAGAGCAGATTGTTCTGCTGGAGGCACAGCCTGTCACTGCCACTCACTGTCTGTGTCAGTGCCACACCTTCACTATGGCACTGGCTGTGCTGTTGTTGGCAAGGGCTGTATTGTATTACAGTCACTGCCCTTTCCTGCCAAGTGAGGAAGCATAGACAAAGGGCAGCATTTTAACTGTGTGGCACTCAATCAGGTCCCTCCCCTCAAGACTGAACCTTATCTGAGGGCAGGAGTGTGAGGGTCCAGTGTGGCTTGTGACCAGGGTTCTTATCTAACTCAAAACCTTCTGCCTCTCGAGGTTTAGTCTTTAGAACTGATGAGGTTTCTGATTTTATTGCAGTTAATGTGTCCCGGAGTATTTGGGGGTACGTAATCTGTAACTACGGTTATTTGAGGTGAAAGCAGTGGCCCCTCAGCGCTCCACCTCACCGTTCACCCTCCACTGTCTGTGTAATCTGTGTAAGTGAAGTCTCAGAGCCATGTAGGTGATATGTATGGTTCAGATCCTCCTATTAGCTTGGCTGTGTGAAATAGTGAAACTATTGAACATGAAGTGCTGGCCATACAGTGAAGTGATTGTGGAAGCTGAGCATTTGGGAATAGGTGACTTTCTGGCACTTGCTGTTAGGGTAAGTGACAGCCTTTCCTGGGCTCAGATAGAAGAGCAAAGCTGAGAAATCTCTAGCTGATCAAAGCCTGTCCCGCCTATTGGTGTGTTGGGTGATCTTGACATCTCTAGCCAGCAGGGAGAAAGGCCAGGAATTTGGGGTCCCCAGAAAGAAGTAAAAGTAGGATGGGATTGGAGTGAGTGGAGGCGGCTGTAAAGGAATGTTGGTGTGTCCTGACTTGCTGGAGTACTGATGGGTAAACAGCTCAGCTACTGATGCCTGCCCCGCACTCTGAATGCAGGGATGGTTAAGATCGTACTCTATCTCAGCCTTGGCTGGGGTTTGTGTGAATTTCCTTACGAATTCTTGAAGTACAGAATGCAGTCTGAGTGGGTGAAACTGCTTCTTTTCCATGTTATTATCTGGATGGCAGGTCCCACAAGTCTGCTGCTGTCCCGAGTCATATTCACACAGAAACACTCCTTAAAAGAATTAACATTTTAATCTCCAGGCTTATGGCAGGAAAGACTGCAGCTATTTGCACAGCAAGGAGCGTACAGCACACAACACAAGACTGTAAAGAGAATTAAATTGTTCGCATTTCAGTATTAATCTCTTATTATTAAAAAGGTTCTGTCCTGCCCTCACAGGTGACTCCTAACGTGGAGGCATTCACACAATCAAGTAAGTGCTTAGGCAATGGATGATATTTAGAACAACCCATGAAAGGAGCCCATTCTAATTTACGGGGGTGGAGAAGCCGACTTTAATAAATACATTTATATCGTTTGTAGTATTGCCCATACTCATGCAAGCCTGTCTGTAGTGATAGGTCTTGCAGACTAGAGACCAGGGAGCAAAACTGGGTCATGGCAACAATCTCCTGTACCTGTCACTATGGCTCTTGGCTGCTCTCCTGAAGGCTAACACTTCCTCGTGGGAAGGCTCGAGTGAAGGTTGGAGAGAAACTGACCAAATTAATGCCTCCAAGTCTTTATTGCTGCATGTTGCCCATGAATGCCCTTGCCAATGCCTCTACTCAGCTAATGCCCCTCTATTCGGCCTGACCGCTGAATGCCTCGGGTCGCCTCAAACTCCTCAAGGTAAGAAAGTCATTGGTTACCTCCCTGTGCACAGGGCTGGGAAGGAAAGGCCATTACCCCAGTTTAGTGTCATTAAGAATCGCAAATTCCCAGTTTACACTGATGCTCCTTCCCCAGATATCACTGCTGCCCCTGAACCTTCACCACACTTTGGGTAAGATGTGCAACACTCTCTAGGTTTCTCAAACTGGAAATGGAATACTCACTAAGCAAAAACAAGATTTTCCCCTTTTAAAAAGTAACAAAAGGACATTTACAGAGTTTCTCCCAATATCAGAGAAATTAAAACAAACACTTAAACATGAAGCAACACATTTCTCGCCAGTTAATCCTCCCTCCCACCATTCTTATACATACATTACCTTATTCTAAACATTAAACAACTCTCTCGATCATGGCTAATAAAGGGCACTTGTTTACAAAATCCAACTCTACAAAATGATCTTGGTGTTCACCTTTCATTCCAGCACAAATATCAGCGCATGTTACAGCATTTTAACCCTTTAAGTCTCTGATAGCAAGCTATCCTCCAGTTTTCTCACTGAAACCCTTGCTCTGTGGGTCTCCTGTTGAGGAGCGTGCACTGCTTAACAACCAGACAATCTGAGTGCACAATGATGCTAGTTCAATGCACTATATACAGGTAAATGATCAGCACCAAAGTTCATCGAATTTCCAGGCTCGTCTTTAGCCTCTGCTGCTATTACCACAGCGAAGACCATGACGGTAGGGTTGTGATGACACCACATGCTCAGTACCTCTAGCTCTTCATATACGTAAAATGTCCCTTTTCCGTAAGCAATTTGTCTAAGTGGAGTTAATGTAAAAACGGCAGAGGCTTGGAATGCCTCCAGTCAATGACCATTTCAAGCCTCCAGACTAAATTATAAAAGACAGCATATAAAAGGCCATCACACCCAGAACATCCCACATACAGATTGCCACACAGTGTTTAATGAGCACGCAAGGGACGAGATGGATTGCTATTGTGCCAACACTGAGCCCTGTTTACTTGAAGCTGCTCTCTGCAACAAAGACAGAACCATGTGCAGACTCACAGTGGAAGCAGCACCCCCCAGCCCACGCCCCGAGAAAGCTTTAAAAATAGTGTGAAATTACTAAACATTATTTCTTGTTAAAAATGTTCTGAAACAGCTGACACACACAAGCTCACAAGCACACACTCAGCCCTACAAACACACAGGACAATGTGAGTTGATCTCAAAGAGTTGCAATAAGTGAATGATTTCTTGCTGCTACAGGACCTGACCCCTGCAGAACAGACACAGCCAGGGGTAAGGGAAGTGATCAGGAAGCTCGCTGCTCCTGGCATAGCCCGGAGCTCAGGGTGTACATCCAGAGTATTAAACTTTGGGTTTTTAATGGAGATACTTACAAGGTCTGAGAGCGCCAAGCCAACTAGTTATTTCCCTAGCTTCTTGCACTGTTACTGCAGCAATTCTGCCGTTTCTGAAAGAATGAATTTTGGCCCAACGTTAGGATAATAAACATATTGAGGGATATCTGGTAGCCAGAGGGTAACGCACTACGCCTGGGCTGGCTTGAGCCTTCAATTCCAAATGTCAGAACATGGCCTGTGCCATGGCACATGCCAGCATCTCCCCTGCCCTAAGGCACAGCTTTGGAATTGAACACTATTAGTGGCGACATTGCAAAGTTAGTTATTTCTACCATTAACTGGGCAAAGACAATGATGACTCGATAACCAACCCGACATCAGAATGCCTGCCACATAGCTGCTAAACAGTCATAGGGGGCTAATGTCAGCCTGGCGCAGTGGGAGTGCATTCATGTGCGTTCAAGTCCCACACCAGGACTTGCAATCACATAATCTAAGATGATACTCCAATGCTGGGGATGTACTGCATTTTCGGAGGTGAATTCCTTCGAATGAGACGTTAAACCAAGGTCCTGTTTGCCTGTTCAGGTGGACGTTAAAGATCTGATGTTACTATTCAAAAAGAGAAGGGAATTTCCCAGTGTCCTGGCCAACAATCTCACAAAGAAAATTAGTCACTCACTTCACAGCTGTTTGTGGGACACTGTCGTACACAAACTTACTGTTGTGTTTTGCCCACAAAGCACAGAGTCTAAACCACTTTAAAGTATATCCTGTGAAGCACTTTGAGAGGTCTCAGTGCTGTGATAAGGGTCTATATCAAATGTAAAACTGTGTTTGGTGCTGTCACATCATGCACAATGCATTACATTTTGCTGAAAGTGTTCAGTGCTGCCACGTCATGTACCCTACACAATGCATTATGTAGGTGACATGTCTTTAACCATCGTCTGTCACTGATGGCCAGCACAAAGCATTTCATTCCGAGATCCACTCCCACCTTAGCACTCAAAATATTTCAATTCTTTCACAACTACACATAAAAATATTAAATTAAATTAAGGAATAGACAATTTAAAAGCAAAAACCCTTTCTGCAAAAGTTTTTCTCCTCAACATTAGATGCTGGTGCATTCGTCACCTTTTACCCCATCCCCCACACCTTGTCCTTGCTATGTTACTGCCCCATGTTACTGGGTTCGTGCCCAGCGTTGCGGCTTTCAGTGAATCCGTGTGCATGTTCCAGAAATAAGTCCTTCAGGACGCTCAGCTCTTTACTCAGCAGTTTGATTTTTGCTTCCAATCGTTCATTCTCTTCCTTCAGCTCGGTGACTCTCTGCTGTGTGTCCTGGGCTTTCTGCTTGCTCTTTAAGCGGCTCTTCCTGACCGCCAGGTTGTTACGTTCACGGCGCTGTCGGTACTCGACACTCTCCTTGCTGGACCCCTCCTGTTTCTTGGGTTGTTTGCTGGGAGCCATGGCTTTGCCTCTGCTCGAGGAGGTGACCGGCACGAGCTGCGAGGGGACCTGCCCCCCACTGCTGAGATGCTGCGCCTCCGCACTCACTCCATTCGACTCCAAATTCTTTCTGGGTTGAGTACAGATGACAGACTGCTTGCTCATTGAGATTCACAACCCCTTGTACTCTGGATTCTTGTCGCAAAGCACAGCAAACCAGAAATAGCACGTGTGACAAAGGTGTAAAGAAGCTCAGGAGGCGGTGAAATGCTGGCCCGTGCCACCTGGGAAGAGAGTCAGATAACAGGCGTGATTGTACAGGCAGCGCTCAGTGAGCAACATGCTGGCAAGCCTGACATGGGAAGAACTGCCCCTCAACAACAACAAGACAACATTTGTATAGTGCCTTTCACATCGGGAGGACTTGCCAAGGCGCTGGACAGAGTACAGCATTTCAGTCCCGAGCTGGGGTTGGGGAGGTAAGGGAGGGGAGGGGAGGTGGCTGATGGCATGGTTGAAGAGGAGGGTCTTGAGGCGGGACTTGAAGGAGGCTAAGGAGGGGGCGAGGCAGAGTGACTGGGGGATGGAATTCCAGAGGTTGGGGGCAGAGTGGCTAAAGGCTCTCCCGCCAATGGTGGGGCGGGTGGGTCGGGGGACGTGGAGCAGCCAGAGCCGGCTGAGCGGAGGGAACGGGCGGGTTGATAGGGGGTTAGGAGGTCGCAGAGATAGGGTGGGGCGAGGCCATGGAGGGCTTTGACGTGAGGACCAGGATCTTGAACTGGATCCTCTGAAGGATAGGGAGCCAGTGGAGTCGGGCAAGAGTGGGGGAGATGGGGTCATGGAGTTTGGTGCGGGAGAGGACACGGGCTGCAGAGTTCTGGATTATCTGCAGCCTGTGGAGGGAGGAGTTGGGAAGGCCGACAAGCAGGGCGTTTGCATAGTCCAACCTGAAGGTGATGAAGACATGAACAAGAGTTTCAGCGGCCTGAGGGATTAGGTAGTGGCGGAGTTGGGTGATGTTACGGAGGTGAGGGAAGGCAGAGCGGGTCATGGCTTGAATGTGGGGGAGGAAAGACAGTTGAGGGTCAAACAAGACACCTAGGTTGCTGAATGGCTGGTGAGTTGTAGTGTGCAACCATGCAGGTTGATGTTGCCAGAGCCTGAGGTGCTGAGGCGCTGGCGCGAGCCAACCAGGAGGGCCTCAGTCTTGTTCACATTCAACTGTAGGAAATTTACCCTCATCCAGGACTTGATGTCCGACAGACAATCTGTCAGGACAGCAGTGGTCCTAGAGTTGAGGGTGGAGGCAGAAAGATAGAGTTGGGTGTCATCGGCATACATGTGGAAGTTGACTCCATGTCTGAGGATGATGTCACCAAGGGGGAACATGTAGATATTAAAGAGGAGAGGGCCAAGGACAGAGGCCTGGGGGACGCCAGATGTGACAGTGCGGGGGCTGGAGGAGAAACCGTTAGAGGCAACAAAGTGGAGATGGTGAGAGAGATAGGAATCGAACCAGGCAAGGGCAGATCTGTGAAGATTGAGTAAAACGGAGAGGCGGTGTATGAGGATGGAGTGTTCGATAGTGTTGAAAGCAGCAGAGGTCGAGGAGGACAAGGAGGCAGAGGGATCCCTGATCACATTCAGAATGTCATTAGTGACTTTGACCAGGGCTGTTTCCATGCTGTGGGCAGCGCGGAAGCCAGATTAGAGGGGTTCAAAGAGGGAATGGCGAGAGAGAAAGGAGCGGACCTGGGACGCGACGACTCGTTCCAGGACCTTGGAGAGGAATGGGAGATTAGAGATGGGGCGGCAGCTGGAGAGGAGGGATGGGTCCAGGAAAGGTTTTTTCTCAAGCCAGAGAAGCCAATAGAAAACTAACAACTCTGAATTCTGCTGGCAGTTAATAGTGGTATTGCCCAACATGAGATATCAGTAACACTCAGATAGGAAAGAGACCAGCCAATAAGTATCTCCTGTCACAGGGCCCATGTGTAAACAGCGGCTGAAGGTTGCGAGAAGATATAAGAGCAGATTGGAGTAGGGGCTGAAGGTTGGGAATCATTGGTAGTGGTATTGGAATTAGTATGACAGATACATTCAATTATCATTTAAAATAAAAAGATAAGCCAATTGTTTCAGAGAAAGGTAAAGCAAGCGAAAAAGAGAAGGAATGAAAGGTGTGGGACTCTTAAAAGAACCACGATGGGCTGAATGGCCTTCTGTGCTGTAAACTTCCATGGTTTTACAGAAAAAATATTGACAGACTGTTCAATCACCAAGCTCAATCCTGTTCTTCAACTTCAATTCTAACAGGTGGTCTACAGATAGTGATCAGGAGGGGAATAGTCACTTTCCCTTCCCCAACGTGAGAACAGGCCTCACCACTGCTCTGTGACTTTCTGCTGTGAGCTTGTGAGCTTGCAGTGATTATGTGGTTCAGTGTTGATGTTCGTATTAGCAGTTACCCTCCAACCAGACACCTGCAACTAACCAGACCCAAAATAGAGGACTACAAGGTTGCCATCGTGCAGTGTCAAGGCTGTAATCTCCTGGTGTATTAGATGATGGCTACACACTCCTTGAGCTGCATTCCAGCAGTTACGTCACCCAAGACCTTCAGTGAGATAGCCTCCAGTGATTCCCCAGGTACTCGTTCACAACAAGACAATCAGTCTCTAACTTTCTGACAAAGTTCTTGCCACATGATCCTTCCAGTTGCTATATTCACACTGAACATGGCACTCACTAGTAATCAACGGTTGAGTCCACACAAAGTAACCCTGAACATCCGTCAGGCCTCTCGAGTGAATGCAATTCACAAATCAAGGACAGAGCACACTAACAGTCAGTCACCACTGCCCCCTTCATAAAATGAACAAACATCTATAATAAACACAAGATACTGGCAAGTGGGTTCAAGGCACCGTATCTAGTATCACAGTTCATAGAACGTAGGTTTAAGATTACAGAAAAAATCTATATCCTATACTGAATTGGGTTGCCTGAAACTATTTAAAAGCTGTAATCTCATTTCAAGGCTCAAATGATCTCTGGATTTATTATTCTCTCTATAGGTAAAAAGAATCCAACTCAATCAGATTCCAACCTGTAACTCCCTCCTGCAATCCGCTATTTTATAACTAGGGTTAGTGAAAGTCAATATTTATCTTCAACAGATAAAATCAACATTTACTTTTAGGTAATTTTTTCAATTTTTATTAATATTTTGAAATACAAATTGGCCAACTTCCGGGTTGTCCGGAACATATATACTATGCAACTCACTGCTGGCAATCCATCATTCCACAGCTAACTATTTCTGGTGTAAATTGTTGCAGGGCTTCACATTCTCACACTGGTTTAAAGCATCACAATCCTGCAGTGAAGAAACCTAGTTATAGGGCAGGCAGCTTTATGTCTGATTTGCACAAGTATATCTCACTCACCTCGAACAGTTAAAGAATAATTCTAGGCAGATTAGAATCATCAAGAAAGGATAAGGAGAACGCTATTCAGTCCATCAAGTTCTGCCAGTTTATTAGATCATCGCAGATCCCAACTGATTTTACCTGTACACTTTTCTATCACTGGGTAATGAGTATTTCTATATAGATAGGAAGTGAGCACACACGTAGGTGATTTGAAGAGATTAATTCAGGCAACCAGTAGTTTTAATAATGGAGAAAAAATAAAACAGAACAGTCTGCCTCTAGCAGCAGCTCTTCTTGGATCATTGAAAAAATGTTACACATTTAATACAGCATCTATCAAATCAAAATATCTCAAAATGCTTCACATAGAATTGCTGTCAGGTATAATGGCTGTTTTTGCAACCAAATACAGCAGCCAAGTGGCATCAATCAAGGTCCCATACAGATCCATAAAGTAAATGACTGATATATCTAGACTTTTGAACGTAACATGTGGTGCATTATTTACAGGGCAGTGATTCAAAAGGATTTCTGGCCATATTTGAGGAAACACACCCTTCCCTTTTCAAATTCTGTTGTGGGATTGTTAAAGACCACCCATCAGAAGGCGGGTACTTCTGATATTGCGGCACTCCCCCCAATGCTGCACTGGAGCATCAACAACAACTACAATGCACACTTATATAGTGCCCTCCACTCAGGGTAGCATCTTAGAGCGCTTAGAGAATATCAACCTAACTGTAAGTCCCAAACTTGGGCTAGTGGTATTGGAATTAGTATGGGCTAACTCAAACCCACAACCTCCTGACCCAAAGGCTGGACACTGGGCCGGATTATACTACATGTAGAACCACTTTATTATGTACGGAGTGAGTGTCTGAGGGAGTGTATCAATGTGTGAGCATGACTGAGGGAGAGTATTAGTGTGTGAGGGTGAGTGAGTGTATGAGGGAGAGTGTAACGGTGTGTGAGGGAGAGTGTGCGAGGGTGAGTGAGTGTATGAGGGAGTGTATCAATGTGTGAGCGTGACTGAGGGAAAGTGTATTAGTGTGTGAGGGTGAGTGAGTGTATGAGGGAGAGTGTATCGGTGTGTGAGCGTGACTGAGGGAGAGTGTATCAGTGCATGAGGGTGAGCAAGTGTATGAGGCAGTGTGTGAGGGAGTGTATGAGGGAGAGTGTGTTTATGAGGGAATGTATCAGTATGTGAGGGAGAGTGTGTATGAGGGAGTGTATCAGTGTGTGAGGGAGAGTGTGTGCGTGCAGGAGAATGTATCAGTGTGTTAGTGGGTGTATGAGGGAATGTATCAGTGTGTCAGGGAGTGTGTGAGGCAAGAGTGTTTGTATGAGGGAGTGTGTGTGAGGGAGAGAGTGAGGGAGTGTGTGAGGGAGAGAGTGAGAGAGAGTGTGTGAGGGAGGGAGTGAGAGTGTGTGAGGGAGAGTGAGGGAGTGAGTGAGTGTGAGGGAGTGTGTGAGGGAGAGAGTGAGTGTGTGAGGGAGTGAGTATGTGAGAGAGTAAGTGAGGGAGAGTGTGAGGGAGGGAGGGAGAGTTTGAGGGAGTGAGTGAGGGAGAGCGTGAGGGAGTGAGTGAGGGAGAGAGTGAGGGAGTGAGTGAGGGAGAGTGAGAAAGAGGGAGAGTGAGGGAGAGTGAGGGAGGGAGAGAATGAGGGAGAGTGTGAGGGAGTGAGTGAGGGAGAGTGAGGAAGAGAGTGAGTGAGGAAGAGTGTGAGGGAGTGAGTGAGTGAGGGAGAGAGAGAGGGAGAGTGTGAGGGAGAGAGTGAGGGAGAGAGTGAGTGAGTGAGGGAGAGAGTGAGTGAGGGAGTGAGTGAGTGAGGGAGTGAGTGAGTGAGGGAGAGTGTGAGTGAGTGAGGGAGAGAGTGAGTGAGTGAGTGAGGGAGAGAGTGAGTGAGTGAGGGAGGGAGTGAGTGAGTGAGTGAGGGAGAGAGTGAGTGAGGGAGTGAGTGAGTGAGGGAGAGAGTATGTGGCGGGTGAGGGAGGCGGGTGGAGAGGGAGCCTGGGCCTAGGCCGGAGACCGGGCTCTCGCCGCCGGCCCCAAGGCGGCCCTGGAACCGCCTCTGTCTCCCCGCGGCGCTGCCGCAGCGGCTTTCACTTACAATCAAAGCCATTTTTTTACATGTATGTACACCCCCCCGGGCCAGGCCAGACCCCGCACCGAGCCTACCTGCCGTTCGGTTGTTGCTCGAACTTTCTGCCCCGGCTCCGGGCCCAGCTCCCGCCCACTGCCCATTAAACCAATCAGCGCGCTCTCTGCCACCATGACGTCATCATATCTCTGATTGACGGCTGAGTCATCCAATAGAGAGAATGGGACTCCGGGCCTCCACACACGACTTACAGGACCAATTACAGCCGAGTCTCGCAGCACTGGTCCCACCCTCTCCTTGACTGACAGCAATCCAGACCAATGAACGCGCGTCTGTCACGAAATGGACAGCTCGAACAGCCAATAGGCTGGCGATGGTGCTAATACTGGTGATTCCCAGTCCAGCTGTGAAGTGGAGTGACTGTGTGCTTTGTGGGCGAACGTGGCAGTAGTCGCACAGCAGCGTTATCCAAACAGTGGCAGCTATCTGGGGGATTGTTGGCCAATAAACTCCATTCTCTTGTCAATAGTGTCTCACAGTGCTACAAGATACACAGTCACTAAACTACTCATCCTGCGTCTTGTGTGACCCTCAACTATTCCTTCTATCCCACATCCCTGCCATGGCCCGCTTTCCCCCACCTCATCGCCCGGCTTCACCACTGTCTCACACCGCATACATGCCTCATACATGCATTCATAACATCGAGGCTTGACTACGCAAACTCCCTGCTTGTTGGCCTTCCCAACTCCTCTCTCCGTAGGCTGTAGATCATCCAGAACTCTGCAGCCCGTGTCCTCTCCCGCACCAGGCTCTGTGAACCTATCACCCCCATCCTCACCCGACCCCACTGGCTTCCCATCACATAGAGGATACAGTTCAAGATCCTGGTCCTCACCTTTAAAGCCCTCGATGGTCTTGCTCCCCCCTACCTCTGCGACCTCCTAATCCCTTACCAACCTGCCCGCTCCCTTTGCTCAGTGGCCTCTGGCCTGCTTCATGTCTCCGCCTCGCCTGCCCCACCATTGGGAGACGAGCCTTCAGCCTCTTTGCCCCCACCCTCTGGAATTCCATCCCTCAGTCCCTGCACCTCGCCCTTCCCTGGCCTCCTTCAAAACCTGTCTCAAGACCCTCCTCTTTGACTGTGCTTTTGATCACTCTCCTTCCCCTACTGCCCTCCACTCTTCCCAATCCCGACCTCCATCTCGGGCCTGAAACATTGACTCCAGCGCCTTGGGCCGTCTTCCAATGGGAAAGGTGCTATACAAATGTAATTTTGTTGTTGTTGTACCCAGTAAAAGCACTACAAGTTGCTACATAGTGTATCACTATATAACAACAACTTGCAGTAAATAGCTCCCTTTACTTTGAGAGGAAGTCCCATAGGCAGCATCTCAGCTGAAATTGCTTCAGTTTATGAACTCAGTGACATTCAATAAATAGTTGAGTGTGTCTGATAACAAACAGCAGCAGGGGCTGCTACTGAGGTTGGTATCTAATCTGTGGATGCCAGATGACGTTCATTATGCACATGGTCTGAAGCCCTTGGTTTGATTACTATGTTTGTAACTCATCCCCAGGTATCTCATGCTTATTCAGCCAGCCAAGGTTACAGCTCCTAGCAAGGGAACTAAACTGCCTTTGACAAAGATTTGATCAAATATTGACTGAGATATGTAAAACGATCTGCAGGGTCATTCGCTGTGTCAGAGTTGCCAGGTGTTCCACAGGAGCTGCCAAGGAGCTTGCTGCATTAATACTTATCATAGTGTTAATAATAAATGGCATTTAATATCGTTCCTCATTGCATCAAACCTGTTTAACATCTCATCTAAACTTCGGCATCTCTGACAATACCTCAGTGGTGTAGTTTCAGCCTACGTTTTGAGTTTAAGTCCTGTGGTGAGCATAGATTAGATACGCAGTATTGCTCTCTCTCTACACTGCCCTATCAAACCTCCCAGGTCAGCTGCAACACAGGTTAGATACCAAGTTAAGCTTACTGTAACATCACACTAAATTCTTATTAGGTAACATGTTTTAAAGCAGTGCTTGAGGAGTGAGTTCAAGGATGGAATCTAGTCTGAGGCACGCACTGCCAGGTCACCAGAGCTTATAATAATAATCCTTGCATTTGATATAGCACCTTATCATGTTTTCGAGACATCTCAAAGCACTTCACAGAATATACTGTAAAGTAAATTGACTCTATATTTTGTGTGGGACGTTTATATGCAATGTCACTGAATAGCTGCAGATTGCAGTTTGCAACTCTCTTGAGTTCATTATATCACAGAATGAAAGGCTCTGGATCACTGCTGCACGCTGTGTCCTATTTATATTGGGTTTCTGACCAGTATTATTACACGTCTGCTGTTGGCTGCCCGGGTACCTGCTCAGGTGAGCCCTACCTGGCCCAAGCCACGCCCTGACTTGGTAACGAGCCCCACTGACTCTGCCTATCACAGTGTGATTGACATGCGAGTCTGGAGGCAGTTTCTCCTGGGGTCCAGTGCTCTCCTCTCAGTGTATCCCTTCTTGGTAACGATGAATTACTGTATTTGGCTTCTGCAAAGCTCAGACAGAACCATTGATCAATAGATGGCGTGTTTGACCACTGCTGAAGTACAATTAATATAGGAACTGTGTTTGGTACCGATTGGGTTATAGAGTAAAGCTTTGCTTGGGCTTGGCTTGCTCAGCTCTTAATCTTTGCTCTGCCGCTTATCTCTCTGCACTTTGCACCCACGAGCACCGAGGCACGTTGTCCTGATAGGATTGGGAGCAAGTCTCGCTGCAGCTGTGAAAGCAGGAGAGAAAGGCGGAGGGGTTTGGGGAGAACTCGCGCATTGTGCACACCCCATCGTGACTCACACCACAATGTGCACACTCAGTGTACACACACACCATCTTGTGCACACTCATTGTGCACACACACCCCTCGCTGATCCAGGCTTCCCCTAGTGTCCTCGGGGATGGTGGGTCAGACCAGGGAGATGTCTGTGTCTGGCCCAGCCCAACACTAGCTGTTACTCCAACTAATACACAAATAGTGACACCATTGAAGCGCAACAACAACTTGTATTTATGTGGCACACTTCACGCGGTGCAGCGTCTCGGAGCGTTCGAGTAGCAGCGAGACTCCAGGCTTACCGAAAGCGCGTGTGGCACTTTCATCCACAAATTCGAATAATATCGTTATTTAACCTGCTTTCTGCGAGGATGGCATCGCGCGGTTATGATGACACTGGTGTGTCTGTGTGAAAGTGTTTCTGTTTGGAAGTTCAGTGGGTTCTTACCAAAGATGGTGAATATACAGTATATAATTCCTGTCGCTTGTACTTCTATTAATGTGAAATGAAGCTCAATATCCCGGGACTGTGAGTGTCGGCGGTTGATGACAGGCTTTAGGACCCGAACAGATCCTGGCAATCTAGTTGGGTAAAAGGTCTGAGAGACACACGGGAGGTGGGAGGGAGGGTATATATATCAGGAAACACAGGAGAAAGTTCAATCAGCGCTTAGTGGGTGTCAGGGAAGCAGAGAACTGAACTGACACTTGCTCTGACTTGCGGACAGTCCAGGGAAAAAGTTATTGAGAACCAGTCACATAGGAGAGTTGGGCAGTTAGACAGTTGAGTGAGTTGGGAAGTCGGCAGATCTCGCCTCCCGCCTGCTGCCCCTTCCCCCTGGGAAGCGCCCCTCGCCGCCTCGGCGCCCCGCACTCTGGATTCCCGCAGTTGCTCGCCATGTTTCGCCGCCTTTAGATATCCTCCCATGGAGCAGGGCACCTTCTACGAGGCTGAGCCGCGCCCCCCGGCCCCCAGCCAACACCAGCAACAGGAGCAACAACAGCCCGTCTATGGCTACCGGGAGCCGAGCGCGGCGCTGGGCGACATCTGTGACAACGAGAACTCCATCGACATCAGCGCCTACATCGACCCGTCGGCGTTTAACGACGAGTTCCTGGCGGATCTGTTCCACAGTAGCCATAAGGCGCAGCCGGACAAGGTGAAGCGAGGCGCGGACTGCCAGCTAGCGGGGGGCCCCGGACCCCAGGGTCACCACCAGGCCTACAGCTGTATGAGCGGCTACATGGAAGCCAAATTGGAGCCAATGTTTGAGAGAAACTCCGGCCTCCGCTCGGTGGTGGTGAAGCAGGAGCCACGGGAGGAGCGGGGCTTCCCCAGGGCGATGCCCGGAGCCAGACACCCACCGCCGCACCAGCCACTACCACCTCACCTGCAATACCAGGTGGCTCACTGCGCGCAGACAGCGGTCCATCTCCAGCCCGGCCACCCCACCCCGCCTCCCACGCCCGTGCCCAGCCCTCACCTCCCCGCCAGCGCGCTCAGACTGCCCCCGGGGGACAGGGACCGGGGCAAAGGCAAGAAATCCGTGGACAAGTCGAGTATGGAGTACCGCCTGCGCCGGGAGCGCAACAACATCGCTGTGAGGAAGAGCCGTGACAAAGCCAAGCAGCGCAACATGGAGACGCAGCACAAGGTGATGGAGTTGGCCAACGATAACGACAGACTGCGGAAGAAGGTGGAGCATCTCAGCCGGGAGCTGGACACCCTCCGCGGCCTCTTCAGGCAACTCCCTGACGGCTCCCTGGTCAAAGCCATGGGCGCCTGTGCCTGAGCCCCAGACCCAGCAACGACTCTCTTTGTAAAGAAAAAAAAATCCAAAAAAAAATGAGTTATAACTTTTTATATGAGAAGCAGAGGCTGTGAGCCGTGTGACAAACTCGCACAACTAACTTTTTCTCTGGAGGGAGAGAGACGCCACATTGTGCAAGAACTCAGCGAACAGCGGCCAAGAGCGGCTCTGGCTCCTGTACCGGGCACCGGGCACCGGGCACCGGGCCGGGGGGAGGCCACCCCCTGACTGTGAACAAGCGGGGGATCAGCCACTGCCAACGCCGACAGCCCGGCACGGCTCGGCACGGCTCAGCTCGGCAGTCGTGCTCACACCTGGCGGGCGCCAGGACCCGGGGAGGAGCAGCGCTCAGTTTGACAGACTGGACAATGTCGCAGACGGACTCTGCAGTAATAATGTTTAGTTTGACACAGCGCCGGATCACGTTGTTGAGACGTCTCAAAGTGCTTCACAGGTTACACTGTAAAGTGTAGTGACTGTGTATTTTGCGGGCGATACTGTGAGCATCATGTGAAGTGTGTTGTGCGTGTTTATATTGTCTGCACAATCGCGCTCGGAGGGTAAAGCCCCAGAGAGGCTGAGCTGCTGTGTTACGCTCAGCTTGTGAAGTCACTGGTCAGTGTTACTCTCAGCTTGTGAAGTCACTGGTCAGTGTTACTCTCAGCTTGTGAAGTCACTGGTTGTTCAGTGTTACTCTGAAGCTTGTGAAGTCACTGGTTGTTGCACACTGTCTGCCTCGGGATACAGTATATAGTTTGGGACATGACATGTCAAGTGACTGCCAGGATGGTGGAAGGCGAACTAGATGGACCTTGGTCTTCTTTCGCCAGCAATTCTTATGTTCTTAATTGTGTGATCTCCATTTTTTTTCTCTCCCTCTTGTTCTGAAACTGGCCAGGCTCACTCCCCACAGACAGCCCCTGTGCTGACCAGCCGGAAGGGGTATACTCTTGCCTTTATTTTATTCCTCCCCCCCCCCCCCCCCCCCCGCACACTCACACAAGCACTCACCTCCCCCTCCCCCACACACACATGCTCACATTCTCCCCACACACACACACTCGCATTCTCCCCAGACACACTCACATTCATTCCCCCACACACTCGCATTCCCCCCCCCCCACACACACTCACATTTCCCCCCCACGGACTCGCATTCCCCCCCACGTACACACACACTTCTCCCCCACACACACACACACAAACACTTCCTCCCACCCCCCACACACAGACACACACAGCTGCTGTGTTATGTATCCAAGGCCTCTGACTGTTCCTGGTTGTGTTCCTGCTCTGGCAGCTGCCGATTTTCAAAGAAACGTTGAATAATTTGTGATTTGTAAAAATATATAAACTTTTTGATGTAATGTTTACTAAATAATTTGATGAAATATTAATAATAAATGGAAACCTGTATTTAACGTGTCTAGTGCATTCTCTGCCACTGCTTTTATCCCACATCACCCACACCTCACCATCCACACACACGCGCATATAATGGAGTTGAACCTCCCCCCACCTCCCCTGGGAACTGAAGCAAGTGTTTCCTGATCTCATTGGAAGGAAACTCTGGCTGAAGCCTGGTAGTTAGCTGAGTGACTGTGAGTGACTGTGAGCAATGTCACACCAGGCATTCTGCTTGTGTGTATGGAATCCTATGGGAATTAGTTTGTTCCATTGGGAGTTTGTCCCATGGGAATGATGACAATAATAATACTTGCAGTTGATATAGCACCTTTGATATGACGTCTCAAAGTGCATCATGGAATATATATACTGTAAAGAGTGAATTGAATATATTTTGTGAGTGAACCGCGATAGCCAATTGCGCACAACACATCGTATCACTTCCAGATCTCTCTTGACAATGAGATGGTGTTGGAATTCCAGTCCTGGATCAGGTTTGAGCTCAGGAAGGTGTGGGCTCTCCTCAGTGAGCGGGAGAGGCACTAAATACAGTATTTCCTGATAACTTGTCAGTCCGAGGGAAAAGGTTTTGCCCACAACTATACAGTCAATTCACTTTACAATATATTCTGTGAAGAGCTTTGAAACGTCTAGAAGCCATGAAAAGCGCAATATCAAATGCAAGGATTATTATTATTAAAAGGGCTCAGTGACAAATTGTCTGGAGTGGTGAGTTAGGCATATGTATGGGTGTGGGGTGGGGGGAAACCGAGCTCAGCGAGATATTCAGCTGTAGCTCGGGGGGGTAGGGGATGCTGTGGAAAATTCCCGGTGGATTTAAGCGGGGGCAAAGTGCAGAGCAGAGGTGCTGTGTGTTTGCTTGCTGACAATGTTTAACCCAACCTGACCTGCCGAGCGAGCGAGCACTGACAATGCTTAGTCAGCAGACGGAGCTCAGCCAGAGATTGGCTCAACATGTACCTCTGCTGCCTGTTACCCCTCGCCCAACTTGCTGATCAGGAGGGTGGTGGGGTTGGGGGCAGGTGGAGACTGAAGGGGGACATTGCTGCCTGAGTCAAAGATTCCACTTCAGAAACATAGAAAGAAAGAATTCATTGATTTATCACATTGAAATGTCCCACAGTGTTTCACAGTAATTACTGACAAGTGTAGTGACTGACTTTTTGAGTGCACTGCAATTTCCCACACACAGCCATAGGGTGAACGGCTAATGATTGTTGGCCAAGTCACTGGGATTGTATCATGGAATCCTCATCATCCACATGAACAGGCAGAGATGAGCTGAGTGAAATGTCTCACCCAAAGGACAGCAGCTCCAACAATACAGCAACCCCCCGAGCTGCAATGGAGGGTTAGACTGGACTGTGAGCTCCCAGGCCTGACACATGGTTTGAACCTGCAATCCAAAGGCCAGTGTCAGTGAGTGAGCCAGAGGCCAGTGTCAGTGAGTGTCTCAGAGGCCAGTGTGTCAGTAAGTGACCCAGAGGCCAGTGTGCTGGTTACTGAACTGGCCGAAGACCTGTTAGTCACCACTGAACCAAAAGGGAGCCCCACACTAGCAGGATGGGATATGGGGGATTACGGGGGATTGGGGTGGGTGAGGAGGATGGGTGAGGTTGCATTGTGAGTTATCGGGGTTTCACTCTCCCCTCCACCCCCACCCCCCCACCATTGCTGAATGGCCAGTGTGGCCTGCCTGGTGACATGAGTTGCATGTGTTACTGGAAAGGGTTTGGCTCTTGCTGTGACTGAGTCAGAAGCTGGGTGTGGGGAAGCTCCCAGGCTCAACCTCACTTACTGAGCACTTTCTCACAAATGGTTTTCAGGAACTGCCAGTGACCCATATGCTGAGCCTGGGCTGCTAACTGCTCGCAAATAATAATAATCCTTGCATTTCATGTCTTTGAGATGTCTCAAAGCACTTCACAGAATATACTGTAAAGTGAATTGACCGTATATTTGTGGGCGAAATGCGGCAGCCAATTGCATACCGCAGTGGCCCACAAACATTCGTCGATTGACTTGACCAATTTATTATTGTTTTTTTTCTTGAGAGATTATTATCAGGCATGTGGAGTAAGGAAACTTGACCAAGGTTTCGCTCTGCCTTAACACTTAGAAAGAAATGAAAGGCAAACCCTTGACACCCAAGAGAAATCCTGAAGATTTCCCACTCTCACCCTCAGTCGCACTTAACCCTTACATTATTACAATCACTAGCCGTTCACCCTATGGGTGTGTGTGGGAAAGTGCAGGGCAAGGAGATGGTGAGAGAGACTGAGAACAGTGATGGGGAGAGAGAGATAGCACAGCATTGGAGAGAGAGAGGTAATGAGAAGAGAGAGCGCGAGCAATGAGGTAAGATGAAGGAGGTGATGTGGAGGGAGAGAGTGAGCAATGAGATGTAAGGGAGGGAAGTGATGAGGAGGGATGGAGGGAGGGAGAGGGGGGGAGGGGGCAAGGTGGAGGGATTGAGGGGGAGAGAGGGGGGAAGAGAGAGGGAGGGAGGGAGAAGAGAGGTGATGGGAGAGAGGAAGTGAGGTTGCCTGGGTTTGGGTAAGAGTACCAGAGAACAGGAATGTGGGCGGCTGGTGGATAAAGTAAAGAAGATGTGAATCTGGTGAAGTTTGGGCAGTAATGATGCCGCTTACCAGTAAGTGGTTAGAATTACTTGTTTAAAGAAAGTCCATTTCCTCATAAACATCCAATTGGTGCAACACTGCTGAGGAATTGGGACAGCGATTATCACAATAAGCAGCAATAAACTGGAGCTGTCCCACTGCAGGAACCAGCGCCTATCATTGCCCATCTCAGTCCCAATCCTCACAGAATAAATCTGGCCCTGACACTGACACTGACGGGCCAGTGCCTGTGATCTGAGGTTATCTTAACCTCTTCCCATCCATCCCTCATCGCATCCGAGCCCCGTGCAGGGTGACTTATATATAGAATAGAGAGTACCTGTAAGTGATAGATCCTCAGGAAAGTTAACAGATGTCCTGTGAGTCCTGAGCTACACTGTGGAGTCCTGTAGCTCAGTGGTTGGAGCACTCACCTTGCAAGTGAGAGATCTGAGTTTGATTCCCGGCCAGGGCGAAACCAGGTTTCCTTATTCCACACGCCTGATAATAATTCCTCAAGAAAAAAAAGAATAATAAATTGGTCACTTCAATCCACGACTGTTTGTGGAACACTGCTGTGTGCAATTGGCTGCCACAATTTGCCCACAAATATACAGTCAATTCACTTTACAGTGTATTCCGTGAAGCACTTTGAGAGGTCTAGAAGACGTAAGAAGCGTTATATCAAATGCAAGGATAATTATTATTTATTATTAGAATGTTAGTAATTTAATGAATAAGGACCTTTCACTTGGCTTATTAAATTAATGCCCAGTGTATTGCTATGTGGTGTCTCAATGGATTTGAATGAGTGAAGGCTGTTCTCAGGCCAGTTGTTAATCACTCAGTGATGAAGCTGCTGGCAGACTGCGAGAGGTTTGTGCTCAACAGATCTGGGGAGGACGGAGACCAGCACTGATAACCCAAAGCCAGGCAGCAAGTGTATTCAGCCTGTGGATGAGTTGTTTTGGAAAGCGTGTAAAGCAGCCTGTGCCGTGGCTCCAGCCACACTCTCTCCAAAACAACTCATCCACATGCTCAATACACCTGATCAACTTCACTTAAGACTCAATAAAACCTCATCCCCTGGTCCCAGCCTCAGAGACAAACTCTCCGAAGGGTAGCCTTGACACCAGGCGGAGAGTGGGGGGTAGGGGAGTAGGGGGTGTGAAGCCTCCACACCCCAACACAAGAAAGAGGAAGTCTTGAAGGTCACGTTATGTTGTGAAAGAGGCAGAGCGGGATTGGCAGCTAACAACATGGAAGCGTAGTAAACACAGAGCAGGAGTGAAGTGAAACCCAGGCCACTTGAGCTGAGAGGAACTTGGAAAGAAACAAGAGGAGCAAAACAATGTAAAGGCAGATTGACTCTCGCCCAGGAGGATCCCCCCATTCACACAGGAGGAGTGAAAACTCTAAATTCCACCTGCGTTTGTTTTTTTTCTTAACAAGAAACGATTCCAAACTGAGAGGGAATTAGGAATGTTCCATCATTCCGAGCTGATTCTGTAAGATCTTCAATGTGAGGAGCTGAGCTACGTCCTGGCTGTGAGCCAGACTGCCAGCACTCGCCTCGGGCTCCCCACTCGTCAGGCCAGGCCACGGTTCCTGTGGTTAACAGTTTGTAATAAGCCGCAGAGTTTCCCAATATCAACAGTTAAATAAAACTTCACACATTGTACTTTCAGTCACCAGAATAAGTTCAGCATTCAGTTCCTTTACCGTTTACCCTGATACTC